GTTATATTTTGCTTGTTTCTTTGTTTTGTTGTTTAGGTTCCTGTTAAAGGTGAGATCATATGGTATTTGTCTTTCATTGCCTGGCTTGATTCACTGAGCATAATGCTTTCCAGCTCCTTCCATGCTGTTGCAAAGGGTAGGAGCTCCTTCTTTCTTTCTGCTGCATAGAATTCCATTGTGTAAATGTACCATAGTTTTTTGATTCATTTACTGATGGGCATGTAGGTTGCTTCCAGCACCTAGCTATTGTAAATTGTGCTGCTATGAACATCGGGGTGCAAAGGTTCTTTTGTATTGGTGTTTTATTGTTCTTAGGATATAGTCCTAGCAATGGAATTGCTGGGTTGAAAGGCAGATCCATTTTTAGTTTTCTGAGGAAGTTCCATACTGCTTTCCATAGTGGTAGCACCAGTCTGCAGTCCCACCAGCAGGGCACTAGGGTCCCCTTCTCTCCACAACCTCTCCAACACTTGTTGTTTGTTGCTTTGTTTATGATGGCCATTCTGACTGGTGTGAAGCGGTATCTCATTGTGGTTTTAATTTGCATCTCTCTGATAGCTAGCGATATTGAACATTGTTTCATGTGTCTTTGGATCTTCTGTATGTCCTCCTTGGAGAAGTGCTTGTTCAAGGCCTTTGACCCATTTTTTAATTGGGTTACTTGTCTTCTTAGAGTGGAGTCGTGCAAGTTCTTTATATATTTTGGAGATTAAACCCTTGTCTGAGGTATTATTGGCAAATATGTTTTCCCATACAGTTGGTTCTCTTTTTTTTTTGATACTGTTTTCTTTAGCTGTGCAAAAGCTTTTTATTTTGATGAGGCCCCATTTGTTTATTCTTTCCTTTATGCCCCTTCCAAGATATTTTATAATGAGCATGAACTGTCTGGGTAATCTCTAAGGACTCAAAAAAGCAATATAACATTTCAGAAATACAGGGGGGATCACCTACCTTTTGATATAAGATTATCATTGTTTCATGGTTTCCCCCCATATATCTCAGTTTGTAACATAGTTGTAATAATATAGGATATACCGTTTTTCTGTACTTTACTTTTATCACTTTTTAACTTTTTCCTGTTACTACATAGTCTTCACAATTTCATTTCAAATGACTAATGTTTTGTAAAGTCGTTTCTCACTCTTTATTAGGAAGTTTGAATTGTGAGACAAGTGTCTTACTAGAGACTTGTGAGTGTCTCACAAGAGTCACTTGCAAGAAAGCAAGCAAGGTTTTTGCTTTCTTTTCTGGAAACCTCTCTTCAAACTCGAGTTATCACTGGCAGGTGGAAGCTGGCAGTGGTGCGATGAGGCCTCAGGAGACGGGCTTCCTCAGGTGCACGCAGCCAGACAGGTCCCTCAGAGCAGAACAGATGGCTTGACTTTGTCACGCCCTTTTTTAAAAACAGCAACAAAAATTAACTGCAAATAGCTTGTTGGTAAGGTGAAGTGCTTCATAGAACAAGGAAAAAAATATATAACATATATCTAATTCATAAATGCTGATGACGCTTCTCACCTTCATCTAGGTTTAGATCTCTAGGAGGATTTCGGAAAACTGGGTTTCTCTGGTAAAGTGGCCCTGAAGCCCTCTGCCATTAGAAAAAGGGCGGTCCCCAGGGAAGACAGAAAAATCTGCGGCAGGGATCCCAAGGTTAAACTTTCCCTTAAACCAACCCATTGAAAGCTGTTCTGTCGCGAGTGAATTTGGCTGACGCTCCCGAGCTGCGCCCACAGACACTGGTGCGCTTCTCGGAACAAACACAGAAACGGGCCGGCTTCTGGAGGCCCTGTGTGCTTGTTTGGTTTCTTTCTCGTTGAGTGTAAACAAGACATTAAAATTGAAACAGAATTTAATTTTGCCTTAGTTCCTAAAGCTGACTCTCTTTATCCATTTACCTCTGTGTTCCCCTAAATGTAACCTTGGGGTCCCTGCGGCAGATGTTCCTTGTCCTTCCCGTTTTCCCCGGCGCGTCGTCTTCTGCCGGCCAGACGCCCGGAAGCTGCGCCTTCCCTGAAGTCAAAATGGCCCCGTTCTGGCCGCCTGCGTGGATGCTCTGCTGCTCCCTTGGGTGCCAGACATACTGATCCCAATCTTCTCAGTCAAACTCTAGGACATGCAGTATCAACTGTTACAGCAGCCACAAGTTCATTATCTACTCGGAGTGCAATTACTTTGCCGCCCCCAAGACCGTGGGGTGTTTGTGGGCCCCAAAGATCTCATATCCTGAGAGAGAGGCTAATCATGGCAGGTCCTCTTGGCAGGGACACCGAAAGGGTGGATTGCGATCGATAGGAGTTTTAATTTGTGAGGACTTAATCTGATCTGCTTTTGGAACAAGATGTGTAGATGTACTTATTGTCCATTTTCTCTGTGCATTCTTTGAGGACTCATTTGATTCTGTGACGATAGTATTGTCATAAGGGCACAGAACTTTATTACATGAGTCTGCCTCTGTCCTTCACCTGCCTGGCTGTCCAGTTGCTGCTCCGAGGATTTGTTCAGCCTGCGTTGCGGTGAAGGGAAGGATGACGAATGTCTCAGATGGTGTAGTGTTTAGTAACCTGGTCTTCTGCCACCAGAAGTTCCTTTTTGGGAAGGCAGATACTGCATTTCTTAGGATGCAGCGAGAAGTGGTGCCGGTCGGCCCTTCAGGTGACCAGGCTTTGGTTGCTAGACCTCGGTGGCGGTGCTGTGGGTGGTGGTCAGCAAGGGCCAGGTCCTGACCAACCGGCGCAGCAAAGCCGGGGACTCTGGAATGTACGATGGAGACAAACCACAGGCGGCACAGGCCACAGTGTTTGTCCGCGCTCTCCTTCCCCATGTCTCCTGCTGGGAAAGGAGCACTGGACAGGAGGCTGGCATCAGGGGCCGAGGTGCACCCCCTTGCCTCGCTGGGCCAGAGCCCTTGAGCACTTCTCCAGGGCATCTTCTTTGGAGGGTGGGCGTGCTGGGCCGCATCAGGAGGAGCAGGCTTTGCCCTCTGTCGGCGGTGAGGCGCGGGATTGGGCGTAGATGACCTCAGCAAAGCAGTTGTGTTTTCAGGTTAAATGATGTCCTCTGTCACACCACTTAGCTTACAAAATTAGACTCACCATCATGTTGCTTTTAATTATTTAAAACGGTCTTGCTTTTAGAGCAGCAGTTCTCTGAGTATGGCCCGAGGACCCCTGTGGATCGCTGGGACCCTTTTAGGGGGTCTGCAAGGTCTTCCATTCCGCAGCAAATGTCTGTCCGAGGTCAGGTTTTCTCTGCTTCAGGCAGAATAACAGCTTGCAACGGACTGAACACAGAAGGCAGATACTGGAATTCAGCTGTCTGTCGTGAATCCAGGCATTATATTGTAAAACAGTACCACTTTTCTAACTAAAGTTTATTTTGTTTTGGAAGATATATTTTTTCCTAAAAATAAATTATTTATATTCTTGTTTTTATGTTTTTTTAAATTTTTATATGCATTAATATTTTAAACTTTCCATTTAAAGTTTTATTTTGGTAAATGTCAGAACTTATAACCCACGTAAACAGATTCTTGGTTCTCCACATACAGTCTCGGCCCTGGGGCTGAGAAGTTTGAGACTGCTGCACCAGGGGACTCCTCTGGAGGAGGACCCACATCTTCTCCCTTTCCCTTGGTCCTGTGTAGTAAGAAATGATGTAGCACAGACCTAGATTTGCACAAATACTTTCAGAGAAAATTGGCTTGTGTCTGGAGCATGGTAGGGTGCAGACACAGCGAGGTGGTGGTGGTGCTGGTGGCAGTTCCTGCGAGTCCTCGGATGTGCGGGTGTGTGTGGTGCCCTGGGTCGGTGTGCGTTTGTGCTCTAGGCTCATTCCCTGGCCCAGTCTTGTTGTTTGTTGTTGTTTTTTAAGATTTTATTTACTGGTTTTTAGAGAAAGGGGAAGGAGGGAGAAAGGGAGAAAAACATCGATGTGTGGTTTCTTCTCACATACCCCCCTACTGGGGACTTGGCCCACAACCCAGGCATGTGCCCAGATTGGGAATCAAACCAGCAACCCTCTTGGTTTGCAGGCTGGCACTCAGTCCACTGAGCCACACCAACCAGGGCCCAGTCTTGTTTTAATACCTACTCTGGAGTCTTAGGTGAAGCACTTTTCCCACTGGTCAAGTTTGTCAGAAGTACGTTCTTGAAGGGGAATTTGTGTTGTCCCAGTGGAGCCTGAAACACAGGTTGATCTTCCTGAGAGGAGCAGGCAGGTTTCTGGGAAGGGTACCTAACGACACCACCCTCTTTCAGCTGAGCTCTCAGCCTGGGACAGTAGCTCGCTGTGTCTCTGTAGTCCTGCCCCTGGAGAGATCCATACACTGGGGAAGAGGGGATGAGCAGCTGTCTCAGCCTTCCAGTTCCGCCTGCCCCTTATGGAAGATTTCCTCCTCAGAAAGCAAGGACTGTTGTAGTTTGATCCACAAAATATCATTGGCAATGAGTGTCTACTTGGGAATGATGGCCTGGCCCCCTCAAGACTCCCCTAGCAGTTTGTTTGTCTAGGACAGAGAGGAAGGCAGGGGAACAGCCAGTGATGCTGAGCAGGTAGGTAGGGTAAGAGTGGAACTGGTGTGCTTGCCCTTCTGACCCTAGAGATTAACCCCCTCAGCGTGGCTGTATGAACAAGAAGCATTTCGCCTACCCTCTTGACTCCTCCATTCCCCATCAGTGAGGCAGCCTGGACGGTGCACTAGCACAGGATCTGCTAACAGCCTTAGGTCCAAGGCCCAGCTCTGAACCTCACCTGTGTGACTGGGCATGCTGTTTAGTTACTCTGAGCCCCAGATTTCTAATTGGTAAAAATATAGCCCTACCTGTCCTGTCTGCTTCACAGAATTGCTAATAAGACCTAGATTAAGTGGGATTATAGACAAGAAAGTGAAAAACATGTACAAAACTAGTTTGGTGAAAGGTGGCTTCTTAATGGTCAGTGGGTTTCTGCTCTTCAACCCTTGCCCTCTGGACTCATGAGGCTTCCATTCCTCCCTCCAGGTTACCTGTGCATAACCGATGAGTGGTTCTCTGAATATGTCTACGAAGTGGTGGTGGACAAGAAGCATGTTCCCGAAGAGGTGCTAGCTGTGTTGGAGCAGGAAGCCATTGTCCTGCCAGCCTGGGACCCCATGGGGGCTTTGGCCAAGTGATAGCCTCCAGTTCTTTCCTCCTCCTGTGGAACCTGAAGTCGCTGCAAAGGACAGATCCAGGAACTGAAGCCAAAGTTACACATGCGACTGTGTGTTCCCATAGGACACAGTCAGACTCTTGGATTTCTCCTCCAGGAACCTCTCGGGGAAGTGTGCTTTATGTCAAAACAAAATATTCTTAAAGAAAATAAAAGGGAAAGATCAGGTCACATTATCTATTCTCCTCACCTCCAACAGCTCAGGATCTCTTAGCGTTTTAATCAGATATAATTGTGTGTCTCAACTCTGTCAAAAAGGTGTGGTCCGGTGTCTCTTTTAATAAGACAGGAGGGGATGAGCAATCGAGGAGTATGGAAAGAAAACGGACCTAATGCTCCTTGTTCCTAGAGTAGCGTTGGGGGAGGGTCACCCTAAGATTCGAGCTCTCCAAGCTGCATGCTGCCTGACAGTCCGCTGCCCTTCCGGATGGCAGTCGCTGAATTCGGTTTTTCCCAGGTGAGTTCATGTGCCTCTCACAGCCCAGGAGTGGGAGGTTGATCAGTTCCAACCTGATTTCTTCCTGTCGTTCTGAATTGGCGGGGAGCACAGCTGTGCTTGAGTTGGGGTTAAGTAGACACTTAGAGAAACTTGAGTGAGAGGACAGCGAAAACCTTATCATGATCTGAATTATAATTATTAGGAGACGCTCTGGCCAAATGGTTTAATTTCTGCCTCTGGAATTGGGAGTTGGGTGGGCAGGAAAAAGTGATACCCATTCTTTCTGACAACTAGATGGTGCTGAGAAGCTTTTAAATAAAACACTTTGCTAAATGAGAGTAAGTTGGCTTATTTGATCTAAGAAGTGTTTCTGTATTTAGCCACAAAAGAAGGCAACCAGGTGACTCACGTTCTGCAAAGTGAAAAAAGAGCCAGGTGGTTCAGGGCTCTCCCGCTTCGGCTCGTCTCTGGGGTGGGACCCTTCCCAGCCTGGACTGGTGCTCACTGGCTTCCATGCACATAGTTCAGAGTGCTTGTGTCCCTCCAGTTAGCCATTTTTTAATCCTCACCCGAGGATATGTTTGCTTGTTTTTTGTTTGTTCGAATTGATTTTAGAGAGAGGGAGAGAGAGAGGAAAAAAAAACCATCAATATGGTGCGTCCCTTAGGCGGCCCAACTGGGAATCGAGTCTGCAGCTTTTTGGTGTAGAGGACAACACTCCAACCCACGGAGCCACCCGGCCAGACAACCACTGCACCCAGATCCGGGTCCCTACAAGGGTGGAAGGGGTCAGCCTCAGAATGTGCTGGAGATTATGTATTTTACTGAGACTGGGCCTTCTTTTGCTGAAAGCCAGTAAGTGTAGCCCCCTAATAAATACTTCCATTGGTGCCTGAGCCCCATACCTTTCTGACTGTCCAGGAATCTTCTCAGTCCTAGCAGGGGTGTAGTCTAACAGCACTTTCCTAGATAACATTAGATAAAGGCTCCGGCTTTCATCAAAGTGTTACAGAACTCTGGTAATCCTGCCCCAAGCAGGAGAAGCAAGTCAATTTCTAGACACATCATGGCAAAACCTTAGAACACATCTTAGAAGCATCCAGGAAGAAAAGACAGATTACCCCCAAAGAAAAGACAATTAAATTGATAACTAAGTTCCCGACAACTGTATTAGCCAGAAGACAATGAAATATATCTTTTAAGTGCTATGAAAAGTTAACTGGGAACCTACACACCTATACTCAATGAAACTGTCAAGAACAAGGATGAAATAAAAGATATTTTTATTCAAAAACTGTTGGTGGGCTGTCTATGGAGCACACTCATGCCTTTCCCCACCCCCTACTTTCCCCAGGGTACACGCCTTCCACCCCCCAAACCACACCTCTCCTCTCCCCTCAAGGGTTCTCCCTCACCAGCCACCACTTCTGCCTTTCCCTCCTTCTCCCTCTCCCTTTCCCCTGCTCTGCCCGCTGAGCTTCAAGGTAACTTGTTTCCTGAGCCCATTTTTTTCTATGGCTCACTTTTTCAACCTCTGACTTTCTAAATAAATGTTTTCTTATAATTTGGGCAAAAAAATAATAACTTGCCCAAACCAAAGGGAAATGATCCCATATGGAAGGTCTGAAGAGAAAGCGATAAATACATGCATCATCTAAACAAAGTGTGGGGGAACCCTATGGAGTTTAAAACCAGATAAAACTAAAATATGTGAAAACATAATTAGGGAAGGAGATGATTGGAATAAACATTCTAATGGCCTTATGCCATTCAGGAAGCAAATAAGTATTTTGGTTAAATTTTAACTTTGGTATATTTATTATATGTGCTGAAAATTTCTAGATTACTGAAAAATAGAGGATGTAGTTTCCAAACAAGATCGATGCATAGAAGGACAAGGTAGGGGAGAGAAAGGAAAATGCAGGACAAATAAGAGTGTCCAAAATAAGGTAGTAGAAATAATCTAAATGTGTCAATAAATGTGCGTGTGTGTGAATGGGCTATATGTTTCAGAAAAAAGCTAAAATGTCAAACTGGGTTTTTAAAAGAGGTTTAGCCATCAGCTGAGAAGAGACATCAGCAATTGAGGGTTTAACGAAGGACAAGAAAGATACATCAACATAAACTAGCCAAATTAAATCTGTCACAACTATACTAATAACCAGCAAAATTAAGACCGCTCTGAATAACCCAACAGACTAATTCTAGGGTATGTTATTCACAGCCTTGAGTTGTACAACACAGTGGCCCTGGAAGTAAGTTTTCAAGTAAAAAGCATTACTAGAGATAATACTACATAATTATATATTTATTCGATTCTCCAGAAAAAATAAAGATACATTAGTATGTATCTACTAATGTTACCTCAGAGTACATAAAAACAACTACATGGAAAAATAAGTATTTTAATATTGTGATGGAAGATTTTAACATCTCAGTTATTGAAAGATCAAGAAGGTGAGTATAGAAGAATGCAGCCCTGAGAGTGCAAGTGTTGAGACTGGATGGAATATGTAACTGAATGAACCCAGGAAGGCCAGAGGAAAGAAGGTCAGGGAAGGAAATAGAGCCTCCTGAAACAGTACTACAACTAAGTAGATGCACCTATAGTTTTAATTCAAGTGATGCATCATCAGCATAATCTTTCAATACCCTTAATCTGTATTAGAAATCTTACACATGGATTTGGACTTCTGTCAGTGGAGAGATAACGGGCTGATACTAACAATGATCCACTTGATCATCATTAACTGAACTTTCTGCTCCTTCTTGAGTCCATCTTCCACACCTGCTCCCTGCCTCTTCTTTTCCACATTTGAAACTCTGTTTGAGCTTTCTTCAGTTTAAAATTTAAGGCATTCTGGAAGAACTTCCAGCCAAGATGGAGGCATAGGTAGACACACTTTGCCTCCTCGTACAACCAAAAGGACAACAACAAATTTAAAAAAATATAACCAGAACTGCCAGAATATTGAACTGTATGGAAGTCTGACAACCAAGGAGTTAAAGAAGAAACATTCTTCCAGGTAGGTAGGAGGGGCAGAGACAGGCAACTGGGGCGGAGAGGACACACGGCAAAGTGGTGGCTGGAGGACCAGCAGTCCCACATTTGTGTGCAGATAAACTGGGAGGAACAATTGGGAAGCAAGACAGACCATGCAACCCAGGGTTCCAGTGCAGGGAAATAAAGCCTCTAAATCTTCAACTGAAAAAACCTGTGGGGGTTGTGGTGGTGGGAGAAACTCCCAGCCTCACAGGAGAGTTCACTGGAGAGACCCACAGGGTCCTAGAATGTACACAAAACCACCCACCCGGGAATCAGCACCAGAAGGGCCCAATTTGTTGTGGGTAGTGGGGGCCGTGACAGAAAGCTGCCGAGAGCCAAACAAGCAGCTTCGTTCCCTCTCGGACCCCTCCCCCACATACATTGCCACAACTCAGTGATGTGGCTTGCCCGACCCTGGCAAATACCTAAGGCTCTACCCCTTATTACATAGTAGGCACACTGAGACAAAAAAATTGGCCCAAATGAAAGAACAGATCAAAGCTCCAGAAAAAATACAACTAAGCAATGAAGAGATAGCCATCCTATGAGATGCAGAGTTCAAAACATGTAATCAGGCTGCTCACAGAATTGGTTGAGTATGGTGGCAAAATAGAAGAAAAAGTGAAGGCTATGAAAAGTGAAATAAAGGAAAATGTACAGGGAACCAACAGTGAAGTGAAAGACAGTCTCAAATCAACGGTTTGGAGTAGAAGGAAGAAAGAAACATTTAACCAGAAAAGAATGAAGAAACAAGAATTCAAAAAAATGAGAGGCTGAGGAACCTCTGGGACAACTTTAAACATTCCAACATCCAAAGCATAGAGGTGCCAGAAGGAGAAGAGAAAGAGCAAGAAATTGGAAATTTATTTGAAAACATAATAAAGGAGAACTTCTTCAATCTGGCAAAGGAAATAGACTTCCAGGAAGTCCAGGAAGCTCAGAGAGTCCTAAAGAAATTGGACCTAAGGAGGAATACACCAAGGCACATCATAATTACATTACCCATGATTAAAGATAAAGAGAGAATCTTAAAAGCAGCAAGAGAAAAGGAGACAGTTACCTACACAGGAGTTCCCATTAGACTATCAGCTGATTTCTCAAAAGAAACCTTATAGGCAAGAAGGGGCTGGAAAGAAGTATTCCAAGTCGTGAAAGGCAAGGACCTACATCCAAGATTACTCTATCCAGCAAAGCTATCATTTAGAATGGAAAGGCACGGCACTTATCTAAGAAAAAAAAGATGATCGAAAGTATGAACAGTAAAATGACAACAAACTCACAAATATCAACAACTGAAACTAAAAAAAAAAACTAAGCAAACAACTAGAACAGGAACAGAACCTCAGAAATGGAGATCACATGGGGGGTTATCACTGGGGAGGCAGGGGGAGATAATGGTGGAAAAAGTACAAGGAATAAGAAGCATAAATGGTAGGTACAAAATAGACAGGGGGGTGGGTTAAGAGTAGTATGGGAAATGGAGAAGCCAAAGAACTTATATGTACAACCCATGGACATGAACTAAGGTGGGGGAATGATAGTGGGAAGGGGGGTACAGGACTGAGGGGAATAAATAGGAGAAAAAAATGGAACAACTGTAATAGCATAATCAATAAAATATGTTTATGAAAAATATATGTGGGTATAACGGACATCTGTAGAACACCATGTCTAACAACTGCAGTCTTTTCGAACACGTGGCATTTTGTCAAAATTGACCACATACTGGGCAATAGAGTGAATCTCAACAAATTTCAGGGATTTTTATGCAGTGCAAACTACAGTGCAATTAAGTTAGAAACAAAAATTAAAAGATAACTCGAAGACCTATATATGTTCAGAAATTAACTCATAGGTCCAAGAAGAAACTATACAGAAAATTTAGCCCTGGCCAGTGCGGCTCAGTTGGAGCATTGTCCTGCACACTAAAAGGCTGGGGGTTCGATTCCCAGTCAGGACACATGCCTAGCTTGGGATTTCATCCCCCGATGGAGTGCATATGGGAGGCAACCAATTGATGTTTCCATCTCACATCAATATTTCTATTTCCTTCCTTTCTCTTGAAAATTAGTAAACATTTTTTAAAAATTTAATCTGAATAATAAAAATACTATGTATCAAAGTGAGAGGGACAGCTAAAATAGTAAATTTTATTATATTTATTAAATGTAAGACAGACTGAAAATTGAGCTAAGCAACTGTTTCAAGAACTCAGAACAGCAAAATGAACTTAAAGAAAATAGGTAATGAGAAAGGTGTGCGGAAATGAAACAGGATCAACAAAGCCACAGGTGGGGTCTTTTTTTAAAAATGAAGTAAATGAACAGATCGTTAGCAGGACTGATTTTTAAAAAGACAAAACTTTGAAAGGATACAATTATAGATGCAGATACCTGAAAAATAGACACTCAACTTTGTCAAAAGTGACAATAAAGGGATTTGTTTAGGGTATAAATGCACAGCTGGGCAAGAACAGGAGAGGAGAAGCCAGGAGCTGGAAAGCCGGGAGAGGTGTTGAAAGATTTAGCAGAGCTGGAAAAAGTTGAATCCTGAGCCGGCGATAAACCAGTTTACAGTGCGTAATCGCCAAAAAGCTCAGATAGGATAGCGCCAGGCAGCCTGACTCTGGAAACTGGGAGGGAAAGAAGGGTACTGAAGGGTTAAACGTCTATTGTAGCCCCTCCCGACTTTGTGCAGCCAGGTTACTCCCTCCTCTGCTCAGCAGCCAACTCAAGATTTATTTTCGAGAGGGAACAAGTTTATGGTCTGGAGGGCAGAAACCATGCTGAGGGTGAGGTTTTGCATTATGATCATTCTCTGCCATAGTGCACTTCCAGAGCTCCAATGCCCAGAGGATTGGGTATTTTCTCTGGGAAATCTCAATTAGCCCAAGAGGAAATACGCAAAGAGCTATTTTACGGCATAAAGAGTTATTTTGTGAGGCTGGTATGACCCTCATAAGGATAGCAACAGAAAAAAATACATGCACATCTCACCCATAAACATAGATGGGAAAGTCCTAAACCAAATATGAAACATATAAAAAGCTAATCTTCACAACCAAATATTTAATAAAAGCTATTTCCCCAATAAAATTAGGATCCAATGGGAGAAACAACAACAACAACAAAAATGCTGGGTATGTCTTCTCTCCTGAAGATAAAGGGAAATGGTCCAAGTTTTCGCCAGAGATCTGAACTGAAAGAATAATATTTGGGTGACTGGCTGAGCTCAGACATGGGAAGATG